GCTCCATTTGGCCGCCACTACTCCCCGTCTAGGTCCCTTTCACTCCGATTTTCCCCGGGCAACCCTCTTTCCTTGCGGCCCTCCTGAAACTTTATTTTTCTTGGCCCGGCTGGCCCCGACCATTCCGGATTGTCAGCCAGGCCTCCTTGCCGCTACTGCTCTACTTTTCCCGCGGCCTTCCGCGCCGGCGCTTGCCGCGGCGGTGCTTGGTGTATTTTTCCCAATCTGACCCATGGTCCAGATGGGGTCGTCCACAGGCGCCACCTGGCTATTTTTACCGTCTACCCCATTCAGTTCAGGACTCCTCTGGGGCATCCCAGGTCCTTTCCAAATTTATCGCGTCACCCCCGCTCCTTTTCATTTTGTCAGTGATTCCCCATCGACGCCCCAACTTTTTCTTGCTTTTCCGCTAATCTTAGTTTCTCCCGTCTTTTCCGGCTTCGCCCCGGGTGATGTTCCTGTTTTCCCTTGGTCCGTCTGGCGTCCTCGTCGTCCAATTGCCGGCTATTTCGCCGACGTCTTCTAATACTTGTTTCTTCGTGGCCTCCTGATACTTAGTTCCAACGACTGCTCCTGACACTTCCCTGTTCACAAGCTGCGTCTTCTGCGTTTGCATATTCATAGCCGTCTCTCCTGATTTTGCCAGCTTCCCTCGTCGTTTTCTACCCGATAGGCCGCTCTCCCGAGACGACCCGTCTTTTCCGCATCTCGTCACTGCTCCCGATTGCACAAATCAGCCAAATCCAAGTTCTCGAGTGACGGGAATTCATTCGGGACCCACCGGTCCTGACACATTCCCCCCACTCATTCGCGATGTCCTCATCGCGCATTAGTCCATAGTTAGTAGGAATCTGGAGACACAGACGGGGGGGGGATGGAGGGGAGGGTCAAGATGGGCGGTTTTTCTCGTGGGTTCCTTTTGTCTTTACCCCCTCAGGGCGGGAAAGGGTATGGGGGTCGGGGTTTCCTCTTTAAGCTTTCTCCTTTCTTCCTACAGCTTAGACGAAGCTGCTTATTTTCGTCATAGCTCTGCCTCTTTATCTTCCTCTCCACCGAGACACAAGTTTCCTTCTCAGTCAACTCTGTATACCCAGTAGGGCAGCCCGGCGTTCCTTTGACTACAGTAACACGAGGCAGGCGAGGCTCTCCTTGCTTCCTGCTCTTAATTCCCAGCAGACGGACTTCCTCCCCGGTCTGACCATTCGTCGCCCCAGTCCGGTTGGTTTTTCCTGCCTTGGTTTTGTTGATAACAAATTGTAGGCAAGTCTTTGGATGTGACTCAATGTCAGGCATCTGCTCCGGAAGAGGGGATGTTCGTCCAGTACAACCGCCGCCTTTGCTGTGGTGATACCCACTTCGAATTGATGAACACAGGCACCACTCCCCTTTGCTGCATTATAACCTTGATTCCATCTCTCCGCCACTTCCCACTGCTCCCTTCTTTCCCCTGGGTCATTTTTTTCGACCTTTTCTAAGGTCCTGCCAATCCTGCCTGCGTCTCACCCTAGTTACCTCATCGCTCTGTCGTTCATTACCCCCTTCCCTTGTACTTTCGTTTTGCCCGTTTTCTTTGATCCTTTGTAGATTTTGGAAAGGCCGTCCTTTTCTTCCCCCCCACTCAAATACAAGAACACCCCCCCCCTTTTCTCTTTTCTCATTCCATTTTTACTTTGTTTTCTTTATTTCCTCTCGGCAGCTCTTTTGTGACCCGGCTCAACCACGACCAAAGGCAATTTTCACACTCCATATGACCGCCTCCTTTATGGCCCAGCTCAGCCAAGTCCAGTGCAATTCTCACAATCCATCTGACCAGGCACCTTTATGGCCCAACTCAGCCAAGTCCAATGCAATTCTCACAATCCATCTGGCCAGGGACCTTTATGGCCCAGCTCAGCCAAGTCCAATGCAATTCTCACAATCCATCTGGCCAGGCACCTTTATGGCCCAGCTGAGCCAAGTCTAGTGCAATTTTCTTTGTCCGTCTTTTCCTGGTACTTTTACTTCTCTGCACGCTTTGTCCCTAGGTAGATGGCACACCTTCCCCCCACTCAATCGCGATGTCCCCATCGCGTTACAGGTTCTCACTTGGAGGCACGCAGACCTTGCCTGCCGACTGAGTAAGCGGATGTCGGCCTATCAGCAAGAGGAAGGGTGATCAGTCCTTCCCTTGTTGATAACTCACCTCATCCCCTACCCTAGTCCAGCGGCCACCAACTCGGAGATAGGCATCATCATGGAGGTGCCTCCTCGCAACCGTGAGACAGGTCTAGTCCCTATCTCCCAGAACCCCATCCTGCCCGAGAGTGGCTCCCTCACGAATCATTCCTCCCAAAGTAGTATGTTTTGCGAATCCGGCCTCATCCAATCCAAGAGAGTTGGGGCTCTCGATTAGTCCGCGAGTGCAGTTACGAAGACCTCGCAATTAGTCCAGAAACGGTTGTAATGCTCCGGCAGGGTAGTGTCAATGCCCCGTGGTGGCCGCGGACTCCACCCGGAACTCCGCCAAGCCCCTCCCCTTGGACAGTGCCACCCAACTTAGTGCGGGCAGCCGAGGTCCGACCCAAACGGCCATGGCACCCCTCTATGACATGGCGTGTGGTTGGAGAGGACAAAATAGACTAGATGAGAATGACTTCCTTGCCCATTTGGCTCTCTCGCCCTTTGACGTTTAGGCATTCAACAGGAGGCGCAGTTTGAACTCCCCGACTAGAGCTCATTATCAGGGTCAGTTCCAGACGTCCCGCACCGATCCAAGTGGTAGGTGCCTTAGTCCTTTAACCCTCATCCTCTTAAAAGAGAAGTGTGTCGTGCTGATACTTTTTCCCTTAAAGGGATAGAGGTTTTGGGGTCGCGGTGCGTGCACCGGTATCCCCCTCTCGCTGAGGCCAAAGACTGGAAGAAAAAGGAAATCCATTTCAATGCCATTTCCAAATTCATTTCAAGTTGCATAGGGTCCCCTGTTTATGCAATGCAATTTCTAATACTCAATCCAATTCCAATGCTCAGTCTCATTCCGATGCTCAATCTCAGTCCAATGTTTGATGCGATTATTTCTTCCAAGGCTGAGTCCAGTGTCCTTTCCAAGGCTGAGTCCAATATCCTTTCCAAGGCTGGGTCCAATATCTTTTCCAAGGCTCC